CACAGCATAGTTTGCAGTAATCCCTTTTACCATAGCATTAGCTGCTTGATCTGCAGTACACAGACTGCTCTCAAAGAGGCAAAAGGCTTTGCCAGCTCATACAGACTCCTGTGTCGCTGGGGCTGTGGTGGTCCACACCAGCACATCGGTGCGTGCTCTCTGAGATTTCAACTAGCTCATGGCATGAGAAATTTATAGTAGTTGCCTCTGGACCAAATTTTCACTTGCATCAGCCAAGGAGCAAGTCAGGCAGCAGTTTTAAATGCACAGTATCAGTGTGGGTCCACCCTGGGCAGAGCAGGGCCAGGGCTGTGTGAGGCTGGGGTCAGCTCTGACAGCCCAGTGGCATCAGCCTTCTGGTTATCAGCAAAATTCACTTTCAGCTCCAAGGTTTTTCACTCCTCTTTCTGCAGTGGTGCCTTTTATTTCTCGAGAACAAAGCAGCTCAGCATCAGTTCCAGGCAGAAATTTGGCCCTTTCCTCCATGTGGGATTCCTGAAGAAATCAAGACATTCCTAAGAAGATCTTTGTGCTCCTCCAGCACTGCCTTTCTCCTGCAGCAGGACTTCAGCCTTGTCTGTGCTCTGTCTCCTAAACCCCAATCCCGCAGCCTAAACCCGACTCCCCAGCCACACAGCTTCAAGCTAACCTTGCTCCATGTCACCCTTTCACCTCCCCTGAGACTCATCCTGTTTCCCTGAGATGCCTGAGAAAGGAGGTGATGCCTGTCTACACCTCAGCACCTGATGGGCTCCTCTCCTTTTTCATCCTCTTCTTCCCACCTTTTGGTGAGCCTCTGATGCATGAGGATAAAGCCTTGAGCCAGGCTCTCCACCTTGAGGTGCAGCCCTGAGGCACACTGGATCAGGGATTAAAACTGGATCAGGATTAAAACTGGAGATCCAGGCTTGGCAACCTGCTCCTCTCTGCTGAGTGGAGCATCTGGTGAGAGCGTGTGGGGTTTGGGAAGGGGTAGGGATGATTTGGCCTGCATCCCCCAGATTCAGAGTCAGAAGGGCTGGAAAACCACTTGCTCCATTCTTCAAAGCCACGGCTGAAACAATGCAAGTGGCAGGAATATAAATGAGGAATAAAGCTGCAAACTCAACTGAATTAGACCTTGCAAAATCCATCTTAGAAAGTACAGATTCTGACCTAAGAAATGAGTATTGCTTAGGTCGCTCTAAATCACAGAGAATGATGCCCAAGGAGAGACAGATGACCTAATACGTCTTTTCCTCCCCTGTCCTCAGTGACTTCAATAAACTCTTGACCTTGCAGGCCAATAAAGACCAACCCAAAAGAGACGGGAAGTCTGGATTCACCCTCAGCATCTTGTCAGAAGCAGCGAGGAGCTCTGTTTCAGAAATTATTACTAATGCCAGCCTTTTGCTGCCATGATATCAGCTATCAACTATTTTTTTGTTCAAGTACAGGCTTCTGCCTTCAGAGCTCAGCTGACCACTGAGTGCACTTCAGGATGCAATAGTCTGGTGACACCTCAGTGGGGATAGTTTTGCCCTGATAAAAGTGGCTGGTGAATCAACAGGAAGCTGAAATCTCTGTTTCTCATAATTGAGCATCTTTCCCCTTTGTCCATTTGCTGGCAATTTATGGGGAATGACTACTGCAGAGATTTAGCTGTGTTTAGTCATAGAATGATTTTGTCTCTTCCTAGCAAAGAGCTAAGTATAGCGCAGACTCATTATTCAGAGGCCGTCAGTGATAACTGGTGCTGGCATCCTTCCCGAGGCACAGTGTGAGAGGCCGGGTCCTCCTCAGAGCCGTCTTCAGCTTGCCTTTGCCTCTCCCTGACTGCATGTTGCTCTGCATCGCAACCTGCCACGATGCCAGAGCAGATCTCCTTCTCAATGACAGCTTCTGTGGTTGTCTATTCCTGATGACAGGCTGAGTCGTTCCGAAATCTGTAAACTAAAATGGTCACCAGCCGGCTTGGCTGAGTTTCCCAAGTCTGAGAGCACCCACCATCAGGAGCTTCTCAAGGGGGTTCTAAACACGAGAAATAATCTGCCCTTGATTTAGCTTTTCACTCTGGCTACACTTAGCTATAGCTTACCATGACTTAATTGGGTTACCATGAACTACAACAACTCCAGATACAAATATAAGCATCTAGGGTGTTTTTAAGTCACATTCTGATCATGGCTTTATTATCTTCCAGTATTAAGGAATCATAGAGCCTAATGGGACTTTTTGCAAGGGTGTGTAATGACAGAAAAAGAGAGAATGGCTTTAAACTGAAAGAGCATAGATTTAGCTTAGATAAAAGGCAGAAGTTCTTCCCTGTGAGGGTGCTGAGGCACTGGCACAGGTTGCCCAGAGAAGCTGTGGCTGCTCCATCCTTGGCAGTGTTCAAGGCCAGGTTGGACAGGGCTTTGACCAACCTTGTCTAGTGGAAGGTATCCCTGGAACTGGACGATCCTTAAGTTCCTTTCCAACCCATTCTATGATTCTATGATTCTAATTACACACTGCGTCAAGCATTGTTTCCATGCTGACGAAAAGCCTTTGCTACGTGGGGAGAGCCTGGTCACTACCTTGGCACCCGGAGCCTGCTGGTGCACAGCTTCACAGCTGCTATTTAAAACTAAACCCAAGAAACTAAAATCCCTCAAACCCAGCACTTTTCTGTGTAACCTCTCCCTACAACACAGATTTGCCTCCCACAGATGGATCGCTTTCCCTCCATGCTGGCTGGAGTGTGCCTTCCAGCTGTGAATGAGGACGGGAGCTGATGGGGACCTGTAGCAGCTCTCCCTGGGGCCATGTGGCAGTGGGGCAATGTTAGCACTCCCTGGGGTGTCCTGGCCTCTCACCCTGTGCCTCGTGGCTCCCAGAAATCCCTTTGTATGTCTTTGCCTATTTCCCAGGTTGCTGTGTGCATTGAGAAAGGGAGCTAATGTCACCTCATTGCCATTTCAAACGTTTCTTGTGGCTGCCAAGGTTTGAAAAGCAGCATGGGTTTGAAAAACAATATCCCTGGTGCTGTTCCCTCTACTCACTCCCAAAATGCCTCTGGAAGATCAGGTTCAAACACCCTCCCCAGAGGGACTTTATCACTCCAGAATTTCTCTTCTGCCATTGCTTTTTAACCCAGATTTTTTGAAGATGTTAAAATACTTCTAAAAAAGCCCCAGACATCCTCGCTGTGTGTCAGAGCACATTCCCAATCCCAGGGGGTTGCTAGCCCCTCATGCCTTTGGCCTGCTTGTTCTGTCAGGCCAGCAACTCCTACACAGCTCCATCCCAATTGCTTCTCTTGAACAGAGTGAATCCCTTCTCCCTGTGCTGGATCCTGGGAGGCATCAGCCACTCGGTCCTGTGCTGGAGCAGGAGAGCACCCAGCACTGTGCATGGCTGTGGAGGAAAGCCCCACACTCACCAGCTGTGGAATAGCACTGCCACTGTCCCTAAGTGGGTTTGAGGCAGGACTGGAGAATTTAGAACTCAGTGGGCACCCAGTTCCCCATGAGGCAGATTTGCCCCTCTCTGCATAGACCCAGGTAACCCATCCCATGGCTAGAAAGCAACAGAAAGCCCTTTCCTTCTTCTGCAGACTGAGGGACATTGTAAGAAGCAAAGCAGAGCATGACTGGAGCATGAGAAGGGAAACGCAGGCACCTGCATTGCGTTCCCATCTCCTCCAGTGAGGTACCAGCCTTTGCTGCCATTCACTCATTTTCCTTTCCACACGGCTGCTACAAATTGTATTGCTTCTTTTTGTCCCTTCCTGTGGCGGGAAGGTTGGAAGCAGATGATCTTTATGGTCCCTTTTCCAACCCGAACCAGTCTATTATGTGATTTTCGAAAAGCATATCCAGGTGCTGGGGAACAAAATGCAATGTGAGCGCTAATAAATCCTGCCAGGGTCACATGAGTGACAATGAGGGAAAGGGACGCAATTAATCGTGAAGTTCCCTCAGAAACTGAATACAGAGGAGGCTGGGATATCTGTTTCCTTTCTCTGCAGGAACGTATGCAAGAAATCTTGGGAAAACATACTGACATGAGATATTAAATCAACACAAGAGTTTAGGATTTCTTTTTTCTCTTCAAATTACAGTTGTAACCAGAGAGTTCAGCCCTGGGCTGAGTTTGAATTCTTGCTCCTGGTAGCTCTGTGTTGATCACAGAGCATAAGCAGGCAGCTGGATCCTGAATTCTGCTCTTTCAGCATGGGTTTTTCCTGGACTCAGGCATGAAGAGGAAGGAGAACAGCGGGAGACAGCGGAGAGGGAGAAACCAGGGAACAGAGCTGCGAGCAGGAGCACACAGAGCCCTCTCACCCTCACCTGCACAAAGGGGCTTTGTGCTGGGCCTCCCAGCCAAGGCAGGAATGCCTGTTGAAAGCTGTAAAGAAGACTTTGCCATTTCATGTGAAAGCAAAGCCCCCAAAAGCAATAATAGATTGCCATTCAATGCTTGACATATTGAAATAACATAAGGAACACGGTTTTGGAGAGTTTCTTTTGCAAAAATTTCCTCATCTGTCTTCTGTGATAAACATTTTCCCAGCATCTTCCTGCCTGATTTGGGAAATCCATTTCCCTGTGCCTGGTGTCAGAGCCTGGGACGGCAGGGCAGAAGGACGGCGGGACAGAGGGACAGCCCCAGCCCGGCCATGAATGGCGACTTGCCTTGCGAGGGGCCAGATTCCCAGGCCCCCATCCAACCTCCCCTGCATATCCTCCTCGCCCCAGTTCAGGCAGACCCTCTTAAAACCACTTTTATTTTCTCTTTGCCCTATTCTTTTTTTTTTCTTAGTTAAGCCCCGGGAGCTGCGCTGGGGAATTGGGGGGGGTTGCGATGGGATGGGATGGGATGGGATGGGATGGGATGGGATGGGATGGGATGGGATGGGATGGGGGGCGCGGAGGGGCTCTGCCGCGTACACGTGCGCGCGTTAGTCAGCACGCTCCGCCCCACCGCACGCCATTGGGCAGAAAAGTTTGTCGCCGGCGGCGGATTGGCTGAGGGCTGCTCGGGGCAGCAGCGATCGCCAATGAAAGGCGGCCGTCGGGCGGCGCGCCCAGGGTGAGTGGCGGACGCGGCTCGGGATGGATCTGAGCCCCGCGGTGCAGAAGGTGGGTCCGCGCCGGCGGGCGGGGAGCGCGCAGAGCGGTAGACAGATCGGGGCGACCCGTGGGGTGCTGCTTCCTCTTCTCTCCTCCTCGCCGGGGCTGCGTGGTGCCGGGGGTGACTGCGTGCTCGGGAAGGCGCGCCAGGGCTGCCCCGTTTAACCTGCTCCGCTTCCTTCGATCCCTTCGCCTCCAGCCATCTCCTGTGCAGTACCAGCGGCTGCGATGGGCGAGGAGGAGGGGGCGAAGCACGCCCGGGACGAGGAGTGGGCAAAACCCATCTCCGGGTCTGCCCAGGCACACTGCATCTGGGTTTGAGCCTATTCCTATACAAGAAACCAACTTCAACGAGGCTTTTGCTGAAAAAGCAACTGTTTGTCGGCTAGACTAACTTGTGTGAGGTTCTGACCACTGCTCTTCTGAGCGCCTGTATCCTTGGAGGGAGTTGCTGGTCTCCCTTTAGGCCCGCTGGAAAGCCTTTGTGCCTTATGCTCTGGCTGTCAGAGGCTTGCTTTTCCTGGGATATCCTGGGTCTTGGCCACGGTGTCTTTTGATGAGCAAAAGAACCAGAATAACTAAAAGGCCCTCTTGGCATGGCTGAATGGAAGGGATTTTAATTGCTAAATAAAAATCTGTGTGGAATGGGTTGTCAGGGAGCAGCTGCTCCTGTGACCTTACTTTCTGTACCTTTGTCACTGCATAATTAGGAGATGAGTTAAACACCTAATGTCAGCACTTCTCGGTTTCAACATTGTAATCCCATCTCTGGTGCCAGATGGCCCTGACTGCCTAGTATCATATGCTGTGCCCTGAGACTGTCCTCTGTGGTTCTGCTGGGACCTTCCTGGTGCTGGATGGCACTGTGTGCTGGGAGCTTATTGAGATGTTTCTTGCCAATGCTGTCCTGAGAGTTCCCTCCCGGACTGTCAGGAAGGGAAGCTCAGCCTGCCTGCCTTTGAGGTGTAGCTCCCTCTGTCCTATTGGGTTTGAGCTGTGCAACTGCTGGATCTGAAGAAAAACTATTTGACGAGTTCTGTGGAAAACAGGATGCTCCTTACAGGCTGTCCCGGGCAAATGTTAGCGTCTGGCAGCAGGGCTTGTGTCTGCATTGCAATCTGGGTGGCTGGGGCTGTGCAATGCACTATTCTCTGCCGCACGATGCTCCTGCTCTGTGTCCTGCCTGAAATATCTGGTGCTGTGAGGTGGGATTGAGGGGTTCCTCCTTCCTTCCCTTCCTCCTTCTTGTGCCCAGCTCTGCCCATCTCCCCTGTCCCTGCTTGGTGAGGACCTGCTGGGGAGATCTCTGGTGTGTCATCCTTAGAGACCAAGCAACGTGTCCTCTGCAGAGGCTCCCTGTGGCTGGTAACCTTTTAGGCATGTCCATGGGGCGCTGGTTGCTGCAGCTTCTGGGGGGGGGGGGGGGGGGCAGGGAGGACATCTTCGGATGCCCCCTGGGGAAGTTATCACCAGACTCTGGGTAGAGATCGATCCTGTAAGAGTGAAAACTGACCTTTTCTCATGGGTAACTGCCCCTGTGTGCCGGTCAGCCTAGCTTTGTCCGACAGCAGCCCGATTCCTGCCTTGCCTAGAGTTTGGAGGGTTGGAGTAGGGTAAAGCCCTGCCAGCAGCCCCAGGGCGGGGGTGCCTTGTAAGGGAGCAGGGCTAGGCATGGGAAGCAAAGAGAGCTGAACAAATCTGTGCTGTTGAGCTTAACTATGCCCTAGTAAAGCTGCCACTGCACTGTACCCGTCTGCCAGGAGCTTCTTGAACATCACCCACAGGGGATGGAGCAGTGAGGCTGCACAGGGGTACAAAAGGGGCTTACAGTTCACCATGAGGGACTTGTGAGTGCAGCCATCACCGGAGCCTTTGTGAAACATGTGGCAGGATCCTTGGCTCCCCTTGGTGGAAGCACAAAGAACAGGACATTGTTACTAATTTCACTTAAATCTGTTCCGTACAGACTGTCTGCAGTGGAAGGGTGTAGTTCTGCTGTGAGATCTACTCAGAGCACTGGTGCGGGACAAGGAGCACATGATGCCCTCTGTCCATGTAATCCTTCTGATGAGCTGCCTGTCTCCTGTCACCTGGGTGGGACTGGGCATATCAGTGTTAAAAAAAGGAAAAGTCCCATCTAGGTTGCCTTTCAAAAGAGATATGAATGACATAATAAAGATAGAAAAATACAGACCCTGGATCACTGTCTAAATAATGCATGTCCAAAGACAAATGGATGTCTTTGCAGTAGACGGCTGTTTAATTTCCTGAATCATGAGAAGGGCACTTTTTCTGGGCATGGGGTGGAATGCTGTCAGGTTTTAATTTGGCTTGGCAGTGCTGTGCAACCAGTTTGAGCAAGTCAGGGAAGGCAAGTCTGGAACTCATTAGGGCCTGTTGCAAGGCCCTGAAAATTCGATTTTCAATCACTGTTGGGTTTAATTATTGTTGATGTCTTGCCTAGCGTATTATGGGATTCTTTCTGAGGAAATTAAAACAGCATGAGTGGGCTGGCATTCTGTTTGGCAAATGGGTTGTTTAGATTAAATTCTAAATGGAGAGTTAAAACGTGAAACGAAGATAAAGAGTGATGGCTGGCATTTCATGTGTTACTGGAGCTGGTTCAGCTGGACCATGCAGGCAGCAGAATTTGTGTACTGTTCTCACTAAACTCAGTCCATTTTTGTCAGGAGAGGAAAATAACCCACTAAGCTAAAAGCACTGCTCAAAGCCAAGGTAAAGTTTACTCAGTTAATACAAGTTTTGGTTCTTGAACTTTTTCTTCCTGCAGTTCTTTAGCAATGGGTTTTTGCAGACATCTGAAGCAGACTGTAGGACAGGAAAAAGGTATTGCTGCTGGTGTGATAAATTGGTCCCAGTGTGTGCAAGTGTCTGGGTGATGTGGGTGGAGACAGAAGCCTCCCTTCTCCATCAGCAAAGTATCTGGACACTTGAAGACTCCTCTGCATATGTATCTGCAGATGTGAATGGGAACACTATTAAGAATTAGGAACTTGCCCTTTTAGAGTCCAAAAATGTAGAGCTCTTAAAATACTTGAATACACTGGAGACACAACTTCATTTTTTTTTCATAAACTATGTCCCTTGATCAAGGTGTGCAGAGCATTTTGCCTGAATCCCTACCTGTGATTTCACCTTGGAATGGTGAGTGCTTGGGCAGGTGGCTGGCATCACAGAGAAAGGTAGCCCTAAATAATGGGGGCTATGCCCAGAAGTCATCTTCTGCAGGACACATCTGAGAGACCTCTATTCTGTCCAAAACCACTTCTAGGCCATTCAGGCACACAGTGATAAAGATAACAAGTGCTGTAAACTGCAGTGAGTGCCCACAAAGCCATTTTTTTAGTTGTGTAAATGTGCTAGGGCTTGTTTGTATAAATGCTGTCAGTAATGGTACAAGCAGTTTCACCTCTGCTGTTGAAAGTTGGATCTCTTAACTGGTAATTAGACCACCAAATGTTATTCATCCTCTGTAGACTACTTTCATGTTCATGCTTTCTGGTTATGGTCTCCACTAGCAGAAGCTCAGGTTCATTATGAAAAGGTGGAGCCTTTGCTGTAAATCCTCTTCTTGGTGGACAAGGGGTTTGGTCGCTGCACTGGGTTTTACCTGGCTGATGGCTGGGGAGATGGCTGTTATCACCCGGTGTGCCCTCTGAGAGCTGTGGGACTGAAACCCTGCCCAAGAACAGTGCCCTTGTGCTGGAGCCCAAGGGAGGAAGTGCTGCTGCAGCTGTCATGGGGAAACAGATGTTGATCTTAATGAAGAAACTGGCTTAGCACTGAACAAGTATTTATAGATATGAAATCATAAAGCAGCACATGGGTTAAAGAGCTTATTTGGGACTTGGACTCAGAGCTAAGTTCAGCCCCATAAAATACAATTTACAAGTTACAAAATCCCTCTTGTCCTGTAGTGTTGCTCTGTCTGGAGTATTTGTTTAAGTTGAGAACTTTTTATTGTTTTCAAAGGAAATATTGTATTTCAGCCATTCAGGAAAAGAGGTATTAAGATGTCCTAGCTTGATGCCCTGTTTAAAGATGGGGCTCAGAGAAAGTGAAAGATTTCAGGGCAGCTATTTGCAGTTTTCAGCAGAACAAGAGTTTCCTGATGCGGGTGATCCCTCATACTTTTACCACCTCACCTACTCCAAACCCTTTGACTCCATCTCTTCAGTTACTAAAAGCCTCCGAGCTGCTCCAGAGCTGTTATTTCCTTCTGCAGTGGGTACTTTCTCCTTTCTGGGTGTGCTGGCTTTGAACTCCCCTTCAGTAGCCCTGCTCATGTGTTAAAGCATTAAAAGTAGTTGATGCAACTGAAACAAAGAGCAGCTTTGACTTAATTACTGGCAGATAAGGCATTGTAAATTGTTAATTCTTAGCTCACTGGGTGCAGTATCTCAAACCTGTTCAGGAACGGCTCCCCTGAATCAGAGGTGGCTCTTTAGAATCAATCAGAAGGGCAAGGGAAAGGAAAGCTGTCCCTTTCTCAGCACAAGGGACTGAGTGATCCCAGTGAATTCAAATAGGGACTAGTGGACAGGATCATGTGCCGCTGGCTCACTTAAGTCAAATGGTACAAATAAAAACACTAGGGAAATGGAGGGGATGGCTGAGTAGTAGGAAATAAGGAAGATGGAAGATGTTTTTCTGCTAGTACTTAATTGTAGATGCTGTTAGCTGTGCTTTCAGACAAGCAAAAATACATGCTTCTAGGAAAGTAGCTTCTGCTTGTGCCTGCAGTGTTAAAGCTGCATTAAAGAGAAACACTCAAGCATTAAAGCAGCTGGGTGACTTATACAAACTGCTGTGCAAATATCATTATTAATTTCTAGCACAGTTGTATGTATCTGTTGGAAGCTTTAAATGTTGGAGGTTTATTGCCTTACCTACTAAGAAATCAGGTTAAGTTCTGTTATTTTACATAGTCCTCGGAAAATCGTTCCAGATGTTTCAATGGGAAGGAGCCTGGCATAGGATGAAAAACCTGTTTTATCAGAGGAACACAGGGAAACAAATTTGCCCAGAAGCTTTGTGGCTGGTTGCCTATCCCTTAGCAGTAGTTGAGGTGGCACAGCCCTTCAGCATCTGCAGAAGAGTTCAGGGCATCAACAGCCACAAAATTAACTTGAACTTATTGATTTGCTTTTACTGAAGACCTGGAAATGTGTCACTCAGAATCACCTCCCTTTATTTTATTCACTCTCTGTAAGAAGGCAACTTCTGTCAAAATTTCAAAGCTTCAGGGGGTGGACAAAGTACCCCCTGTGTTCCCATCACACGTGCTGCCAAGTCTGCTTGGACTACTAAAGAGCATCTTGCAAGTGCCAGCTACAGCAGGGAGTGTGCAGAAGGGCAGCTAGCTGGCTCCTGTCAGTCATGTGTCTTAATCCAGAGTATCAGGATATAATAACTGATCAGTATTTCTCCTAGCTTAAAGTAGCTGCCCTGGATCTGGACATTTAGGGTGGGAACACAGACCTGTACCCCAGAGGCTGAGTAACTTCTCAGTAGCTGACAGAGCTGCTAATTCACCGTACCTTGCCTATTCAGTGCTTCATGCCCAAGCTATCTTTTTTTGTCATTCTTATACAGCTGGATGGGCCTTTTGAGATTTTTGGAATGGTTTATGATAGTGACCAGACCCCATAGAAATGCTGGAGCTGATACAGTGAGGCCGCAGTGCAGGAAGGATGGGGCGGAGGAGAGGGATGAGTGGTCCAGGCATGCTTCTGCCCTTTGCTCTGCTGTGAAATGCCTTTGTGCCCTTGGCATGTCTTTAGCTCTCTTGTGTCTTGATCACTGCTGTGAAATGTGAATAGTAGAGGTGAGAAGGTATTTAGGAGGACAAAATCAATCATGTTATACGGAAACTTGATAGAAGCAGCTCCTGAAGTGCAATGTGCGAGTGTACCCACAGACCCCTGTTCCTGATGGAAGTTCAGCATCTTCTCCATGCGCTCAAGGTGGGAAGGACAAAGTGAAGGTAACTGGGGATTACAATGAGACACTTACCTGAGCACTCTGGAATCCAGCACAGCTGCTGTTTAATTAAATTTGGGTGGGTTCTTCCCATTCCATACACCTACTCGCAGCTTGACTTGGTTTTATAATTAAGACCAAGTGTCTGAAACACTGTCTTGCTTGTGGAAGAATCTATTCATCTTGCTTTCCAGTTTGCCCTTCTGTTATCATTAATTCACACATTGTTAGTGGAGAAAGGAATGCTGCCAACTATGCGCTCTTGGAAGAGTGAGTTATTTGCAGAGGCTCTGGTTGTGTTGTATCTCTCATCCTGTAGGTTGAGATCTGGCAGCTCCATTGAAATACTTTTCTCAGATACTGGTGCCTTTTCCTGGTCTTTATGTTGCTAAAATAAAGGGCAGCAAACTTCTCACTCTACAAAGTTTAATATCAGTAAGTGCTTGCAGTACTCTGGATGAGACCAACTCATTCACTGGTGACTTACATCCTATGGGGAGAATCTGAGATGAAAGACAGCCTTTTGTTAGTGATATTTTTCTGTGAGTGTGATAATTTAGATAGATAACTGCTTGCTCAGAATCTGGCAGGGAAATGAATTGCTATCAGGTCATGATTACAATAGATGTTTTCTGTCTATGAAAATGAGAGGAAAAAAAAACAATCCTTCACTGTTCTCAGTCAAAATTATAGTAGCAAGTGTGTGTTTTAAGAGTAGTTCTTTGCACTTCCACAAATCTATTCCACTTGTAGGTGCTGTCAGGGAGTCCCTTCTAAAATCCAGAAAAGTTTGTCTAGCAGAGCCCAGTCTCCTGCTTGAGGCAAGCCCTCCTGCCTGCCCTTCTGCTGGTCCAAGGTATGTTTTAGACAGTTTTCTTCTGTGCTAGTACTGGGAGTTGACTCCTGAGCACACCTGAACCTCACTGGGCATCAAGTATTGTCAAGGAGGATGTTTGGTCATCAGCAGGAGTGGAGAACTAGTGTAATACCCAAGATGTAAAACTGTTGGACAAGTTGATGTGTTTCAGGAGCAGCAGTTCTGCTGCTGTGGCTCTTCTGCTCTCTTGTATCAGTGTCTGTAGTGCTGACACTGACAAAGTGGAAAGAAAAATCCACTTCCCTAGGATCATCTCCAGAGCTGATGATTTAGTACTTTAGTTTGTCCAATTTTAGACCATTGTTTAGGTCATACTTAAGTGAGGATTGACTCTTGACACGTTCTTCACTTGTACCTTGTGAATGCAGAGCTCAGCTTTCAGTGTTGCTGAGATGCAGGTTTATGGATAACCTAAGGAGTGCTAGTGATAACTGCCCTTGCACTTGAACGTATATGCAAATGCTAGGCCTCATTTAACCAAACACCCGTGAGTTCAGATTTGTTGGACTAATGTGAACCTTTTGCCAGTGTAGGATCCACTGAAAGGAAAACAGTCTTGGTAACTTGATCAGGTAACTGAGAAGTTTAATGCTAGTGCATCTGGTTTTCTGCTTGAATTAGGAAATTAAATAGGACTGAGACTATTTCATATGGGTTTCTTGTTAGTTCAGTGTGAATATTACTTAGATGATCCTTTACTGTGTATAGCTATTAGAAACATGCCTTATTTAAGATTCCCACTAGCGTAAAGAACATTATGGGCTCAAAACTATGGTAGTTCCAGTTAGTAGAAGATTTGCAGGGAGCCTCCTAAGATGAAAAAAAATGCAACTAAAGAGGCTTTTTGTATGCACAGAGTCTGGTTTTATTCCTGGCTTTAACTAAAACACGCACCTTTGGATGTGTTAAATCAGTTAGTTAAGACCAATAGCAAAATATTTTCTGCTGCAGCCCAGGTATAACGCTTCTTAGCTTTAACTGATGGTGGTGTAGTTTTCCAGAGCTTGCAGTGTTCCTATTGCTGTGATACCTCTTCTGTTAGATATAAACACTTGCACCCTCCAGTTACTGAAAATCCTTAAGGAAGTTTGAATTAGCTCCCTATTATTATGTAAGCTTAGCTCTATTATAGTCAAGTAATGATGACAAATTGATTGCTATCTATCCAGATCCCTAACTCCTCAGTTGTTCTGAGCAAACTGGTCCCATCCATGTGAATCTTGTATGACTTTTCCCTTTTACTTTGTTCAAGGGACTTTCTCCAAGTTAGAGTTATTAATCTCCAAAATGTGTTGCAGCTGGAGGAACCCACCCAAAGTGTTCATGTGCCCCTTTTGCTTCACTTGAGCTCTCTTCTGCCCTGGCTGTGATTTATTGAGGTAGGTTATCCAGCACCAAGACTGCATGATGGCCTTCCAAAGGCTGTGCAGAAAGGTTTACATGGGTGCTGGGGAGCACGTGGGAGAGGTGAAATGAGGACCTCTGCTCTGAATGGCTGTTGTGAAGTTGTAGTAACTTTTTGGAAAGCAGCTTTTCCTCTCCCCTCCCTAAAAAGGAGGACAAAGCATACCTGAGGTAGTGACGTGACTCCATCACCGTTTCTAGTCTCCAAATAAGGTGCTGTGCAATAAGTGCTTTTGGGATCCAGATGCCTCCGCAGAGGCAGGAGGGCCCTTCTCTACCAGCCCTTCTGGAGCAGTGGCTGCAGTGGCTGGTCCCCAAAGCCCTTTCAGAGGATGGAGAGCAGTGAGTAACACACACTGCAGTGCCAGGGAGGAATAAGGCTCTTGTAGGGCTACCCTTCATCCCACTCCTGGATCTGCTCAAATGGTACTTGTGCTCTCTGCTGGCATTGAGAATGGTGAGTTGGAGCAAGCGGAGTCCTGCTGCATGTCGCATCACTGTGTATGAAATGAACTCTTGCAGGAAGGTGTATGTTCTTTGAGTCTTCAGCAGCCCTTGATTAAAAACCACATTGACCAAACTTGCCACAACTCTGAGCTCTATTTCAGGTTTGGTCTGAGGACGCAACTGCAAATTAAAGTGTCAGCTGGGTTTGTGACCCTTGTGACAGGTCCACACCTCCATCCACAGCAGCATGATGGAAAGTGCTGCTGGCCAAAGGGCTGTTTTCTTCCATCTGAGGCTGCCCTGCGCTTTGCTGTGGTATGTGGTGTATGTGCTGCTAATGGCAAAACCATCCTGTGAGAAGGTACCTTGGCTTTTAAGGGCGTTTGTCTTAGGGAGTATGGTCCAAGCATCCCCGATCTGATAAGCGTCTCGTACTTCAGTTATCATCCTTTTGTTACAGTGACTGATTTAGCAGCTAGAGCTGGCTCCACTTTCCTCTTTCCACCTTGTTTGTCACTTAACCAAGACCCTAGTTTGTTTTGTGTAGCATGCTTCTGCTGGAGATCAAAATGAACTTATCAAGTCTGTCTTGATGCTGTGCCTTGTGCATAGCTGAAGGAAGATGACGTAAGGAGCAGACAAATAACAAAAGAAAAGTAAGCATCACCGACAAGCAAGTACCAGACTCATGACTGCATTTCCCTTATGTAGTTGCAGTAGCAAATTCTTTAGCAAAGGTGGGTGCCTCTGACTGGTGGGGACAGACTGCAGGCAGTGAAACAGCCCCCATGGCACATGCTCACTGTATGTACCTGTGATAGCTGGTGTGTCTGAGCACATGCAGGTCTGAGTTAAGCCTATTTGCGGTCTAGAAGCTTGGTCTCCTTGTCTGTAGTGTTAACCTGGTTGTTTCTGGAGGGGTCTTTGCTGGGAAACACCTAAGCTTAGACTGAAGTCTCCTCTTGGGTACATTGAATCTCTGGCACTGAACTGGTTGTGAGTGTGAGAAGAAGCTTCCGCTTGTTGGAAGGATTTTCAAGTCATATGGATGTAAACCCCAGCATTTTCTCCATGTGCCATTGAGGATGGTCCAAACTCTATTGTCAAACTAGCTTCAGTACGCCCTCTGGCCAGGGGTCATTAGCCAAGGTGTGCTGGGCTGGTCAGGGCGTGATGATGCACAGCAAGAACCTTCTGGAGTCTCAGCTGAGCTGCAAATGGAACAGGCTGGTGGAGTTGGGATTCTGACCCGCTCATAGCTTCTAACCAGTGGTCCATGCTACAAGACCTGCTTTGGAAGCTCAATGCTCCTTTCCAAAGGAGTCCTCAAAGTGCAAACCAAGGTGGTCCCATGTTTGGATGTTTTCCTTGTCTCTTGTCATAATAGGCTCTATTGTCCAACCACTGAGTGAACTTACCAGTGTCTAGGATGACCCTGCCTTTGGCCAGTGTAATAGTGAACCATGCTATTACTAGTGTATTCCTGAGGTTGGTCAGAGATGTTTTTGTGGGTAGAATGGCCTCAATTTCCTATCATTTCACTACCGAAGAATTTCCTCTGCACTGGTTTGCTTTCTCGCTTTTAATAGCAAGAATGCTATAAGACACAAAGCCAAATCAGAGCTCTCAAAATGCGTTGTATATCTAGTCATGGTGAGCAGAATTTGCTTTTCTTCCAAGTGGTTTGTTGACACAGGCCTGTTTTTAAAGGCATTACAAATGTCTTCACATTCTTAAACTCCAGTATTGCCTTGTTTAACACTGCTGTTCCCAAATGGGCTTGGGCATAGGTGGAGTCTAAGATAGTCAAGGGAGCATTTGTTTCACATTATCTTACTGGATTTGGGTTGTTTTGGTTTTTTTTTTTTTTTTGCAGTGTCTTATGTCTGTTTCTTAAAGAAATCTCCTTTTATGCATATTCAAGGAGCCGGAGCGGAGCTGTGAGGAGAAGCTCCATATCTGGGCAGGAAGTCTTTCTGACCAGGCAGCCTGAAAAACAGGCAGCAGTGCCTGTTGGGTTTGGCCCCTGCACAGAGATGGAAATGAGTGGCTCAAACCTCCCTCCGCTTCTGAGGGAGTGAGGGATAATGCTGTCCTCCAAATAGAGACGTGGCTGTGATTTGGGCAGCCGTGAGGAGATGCTGCCCAGAGGACCCTGAGCTTGTAGGGCAAGGCAGAGCAGCAGCCAGTGGTTATGTGCCCTTTCCCCGTCTGGAGGGGCTGTGCCACCCTTTGGCTTGGAACCACTTGTTGGACTTGTCTATGGGTCTGTTGTTCAGCCCACAGTGATGTGGGGCACCACCCATCTGATCCCAGCTCTGCCAGCTGGCAGGCTTTGGGATGCTCACCCTGCCCTTGGCAATGGACAGTCATGACCAAGCCATTGAATGGCAGTGTTTGGAGTTGGGTAGATGTCTAAAACAGATCCAACAGCTTGGAGGCAGAGATCCTCCAGCTAATTGGGGTGATGGGTAGTGCCAGCCTGCTCTGGAAAGCTGGCACAAGGTTGTTCTGGGAGCACTGATTCAGTAGATAGTTCCGTGGGTTAGACTGAGTAAACATCAGTTACTCACAATTACACTTGGACCTAGGACATGCACCAGAAGTCATGGTTGGACAAGTAGAATGAACTACCGAGACAGGGGCTTGTTAACACTGAAGGAACAGTGTGAAATGCTGGGTATACATACCAATGTGGAGGTCACAGGCTGGTAGTCACCCCAAATGGCTGTGAGCTCCTGAACAGGCACTTAATTAGACTGGGAAGTATCAGTCTGGTTATGGGGGTTTCATGTACTGATGCTTGCTACTGGTAAGGCTTTTTTCTCTTTGCTTTTCCTCTTGTATGTAATGAAGCTTTTCCAAATGAGTTTATTTAATCCAGATGTTTGTATCTTAAATAAACAGCCATTCACAGTCACTTGCCTATACTCAGCTTCTAACTCATTAAGATCAGAGTCTGTTAAAAATCCCCATCAGTTAGTGGGCACTGAGCACATGATTACAGAACTGGCAAGATTGTGTGGTCTGTGGGGATCTTAAACTTCTCTCTTCTGGAGAGCTGGCACATAGCTGAAGAATCAAATGGCCTGTTTCTCTGGGGCAGGGTGGGGAGTGTGTGTGAGTGTTAAGGCTGTTTTTAAGATGTGTTTTTATGAATTCCCAGAGCGAGAGGTCTTTTCACTGGCTTCAAAATATCTAGAAAAACTGCAGGTGAGAAGAGGTGAAAACTGCAGGTGAAAGCGGAGACACAAATGAAATAGCATTCCCTGGGGCTAAGTGAGCTGAAATGGGCCATTTCGTACCCTTAGGGCTGTGCTTCTCAAGGTCGAGCAGCCTTGTGTAGAGGCTTGATAGTTCTGTGCAAAAACGACTATGTAAAGGCTCCTTTACCTTAAAATTGGCAAACCAGCACGCAGCTCTTTCCGGACCCCTCTGTTCATAAAAGCTTTGTCCTTATTAGCAACACTGGGGTTTCCAAGTCAAAATTAAATGCCTTTCCTAATGAAGTGCCATAAAATAACTTTTTTCTCTTGGGAACTGGAGTATGAGTTTGAATGTCAGAGGAGACCTTGGGGCGCTCCAGATCCCTGCAGGAGCTTTGAGGAGCCCAGGAGCCACTGCTGAAAGCTGGATGGGTGGATCTGGGCAGGAGCAGGAGGAAGGGGCAGCTGCCAGTGTCATCAACAGCTTTGCATCCCAGTGGAGCTGTGAAGCCCGGTGCTGCTGGGCAGAGCTTCAGGCTGGTCACCAACTACATCACTGCCTGCAATGCCCAGCCACCCGTGCAGGATCCCTGCAGAGCCTCCTCAAAAAGGGGATTTAACCACCCACAGCACTGAAGAGTGAAGGAGCTGAGCACATTCCTTCACTACATGCTTTAAAAATACCCTCTGTTCTTTTACTGCTATTGATCCCTCCCTTGGAATATGGGCTTTGGCAAAGACTGCCTTTACCCATCCCCATCTAAAGCTGTGGAAGCCTCTGACCTTGCTGGGGAGGGAGGCAGTGTGCATGGACAAGGGTTGTGAGTTGCTGAGTGGGGAGAGGAGCTGGAGCTGGGTGAGGAAGATGAGGAGCTGGTCCTGGAGGAGGCTTACATAGGCTTTCATTACAAGATCATATGCTGTCATAACGCAGAAGCTCATATGGGCTAGATTAATACTGCACAGGCAGGCAACAGCCTCTCCAGCATTAGAAACTTCTGCAGCCTTAACTGTTCTTCTGATGGGCCCCTGTAGAAAGACCAAGGAGGCCCAAGCTGCAGTAAAGCAAGCTCAGCATTAGGTTATGGCAGTGCACTTCATGTCCCACTGGAGGAAATTTCACTTGCACAGAATCATTTGCAAATATATAAAGTAAATAAAAATAGCATTTTAATGAGACCTGAGGCCTCTGTGTATGAGATTAAGCTGGCTATCTGGGCTGTGTGCATGCTTGCTGTGTTTGATGTGTTGTCCCCCCTACGCTGCTCCGGACATGCCATCTTCTCTTAAGGTGAAAGCCTTCATCCCAAGCATCTCTAAATAAGCTTGAGCAGGTCTGCATGGACAGCGCTCAAATGGCCTCTGTGAGGTTTGAGGTTTCACAGGACATAAGACATGGCTGAAGAAATCATTTGAAGGACAAAACACAGAATTAGTATTCTAGTCTCAGATAATCTTTGAGGATAAAGCATTTCCAACTGCAGTGTCCTGTTCTTTTCCAGATGTCGGTGAGCCAGCTGCAGTCAGGAAGAGGTGTGCCTTGTTTACGCTGCAGAGGGATGTGCACGGGCTTTGAGCCACATTCTTGGAGGTAATGTCCTGGTCCTGACGGCCCCTGTCCTGACACTGTCCCTTTGGTCCTCTTGATGTTCAGACTCCAGTGACTGCATGCAAAGAACTGCAGGTAGCTTGAGGTGTGTTGGGAGGTGCAGAGGACACAGTCTCTGGCTAGGACAGCTGCTGAGTTGGGGAGATGCTCATGCTCCCTGCTCTCTATCCCCCTTCCCTCACTGGTGCTGCTTAAATCAAGCTGGGGGTCTCATGCCTGGGTTTGGGGTTCTTTTCCACTTCTGCTACCATTGCCCTCTCCCTGGGAGTTGACTGTCTCTGCTAGATTGGTCATAGGTCTTGGCAGTGAGCTGTGGCATGGGAACAGAGAGAGCTGGATGAGAGATGACCCATCTTAAGAAGGGTCTCACCAGACATGGGACCATCCCTGGTACAGCACTGCATGGCTGGTGCTGTTCAGTGGGATGTTGGGAAGGGAGCATGGTGCCAAAGCTTCTCCACATGGCTCTGCACAAGCCACTTGATGCCCTGCATAGTGTGTGTTCTGGAGCATGGATCCTCTGTGTACAGGATCTTCTGCCTGCCACATGCTGCCTTCCCAGCCTGTCAGATTGTTTGGAAATCAGTTTGTGAAAACAATTATGTCCTTGCTTGTTTTGGAGACAGAGAAATTCTGATCGAAAGGACAATCCTGTCTGTTGGCAGGAGGTGTGCCAGGTGCCTGGCTGTCACCATTGTCCATGAGGGCTTTGTGGGTGCAGAGCTGGCACAGTGAAAGCCCTTGGTGGGGGCTTAGTGCTGTGTTCTGCTTGGCAGCACCATGGTGGCTGTTGCTGATGGCCATCCTGAGCATCCAAACGGCTGAAGTGCCAGAAGTGTCTTGTTATTTGACACTTTATTTTCTGGTTTTCCACTTAAAAACACTAATTAAAGTAAATAGCCACCAATATTGGTAGCTGATGGGGGCTGACCATACTGGGTGTTGAGCTCTGGGCAGGGGCAGCAGGTTCCTGCCCTATCTGCTTGCAAACCCAAATGGGAGAAACAAAGGGGGCTTTGAAATAGAAGGGAGCTATCCAGATGTCATGAATTAAAAAAGAATTGGTGCTCTCTGAGGCTGTCTTGCAAAACACTGGACTCTTTTCTGTGAGCCTGGAGAGCTCCTGAATGCTGTGGGACAGCCAGATCCTATCACAGTAGCACATGGGGGCCTGAGGTCTTTAGGTGTGCTGCTGGCAAGCTTCAGTAGGCTTCACTGTGCAATAGTATCCTACAGCCTTCAGTTCCCGAGATCAATGCCTCAGCTGTGTGGAAATCCAAACTTTAAAACACATTTGGTGGAATCACTACTTTTTTAATTGACTTAAAGGCTGGTTTGAATACTGCTTGTCCCAGGATCCTGCTGAAATACTTGGGGTTGCATCAGAGTTACTTTGTCCTTTTTGCTGTTAGCATTTGATTGAAAAGCTGGCCAGCAGAGAGTGGCCTTATAGATTTAGCTATAAATCATAAAGATATGATAATTAAAATGATAGACACTGAAGTATCAATTCCTTTTAGCAGTCACTTTTTTAATGGTATGTAAAGCTTTGTAGAAGGTAGTGCTGGTGCTTAGCTGTTGGGGACTGGTGAGGGTGGGAGATACAGTGGTGCTTGAAGGGGCTTTCAAAGTGCACAGATAGTGGTAGCTCCCCATGGTGGGTGGCAGGCAGCATTATATCAGCACTGCTGCAGCTGCTTTTGCTTGGGGTTGGGGTTTGTGGCTTTCTGCTCTGCCACTGCCAATCCCTGTTAGGAAAAGTTGGACATGAGCTGACAATGTGTACTTGCAACCCAGGCTATGGTTGGCTTTCCAGGCTGCATCACCAGCAGTGTGATCTTTGTACCTGGAGTACTGTGTCCAGCTCTGGGGGCCCCAGCACAAGGAGGACATGGACCTGTTGGAGCCCACATGCCACAGGTCTTATGCCATAACCCTGCTCTGTGCTCAACCTTTGGAAGAGGCTGCACCATCACATGATCATATGCCTCTTATGGCCCAGCTCCCATCAAAAGCATGCTCTTGCTTGTCACCCACAGGAAGATCTGCAAGTCATGCAAGTGCAGCCAGGAGGATCACAGCCTGAGCTCGGATCTGGAGGATGATCGGAAGATCGGGCGCTTGCTCTCAGACTCCAAGTACGCCACGCTCACTGCCCGGGTGAAAGGAGGTGATGGCATCCGCATCTACAAAAGGAACCGCATGATCATCACCAACCCCATCGTCTCCCGGAAAGACCCCACTTTTGACACCATCACGTATGAATGGGCTCCACCAGGGCTCACCCAGAAGCTGGTAAGATAATCCATGGTGCGTTTGGTGGGTAGTTGTTGTTTAATGGAGATCATAACACAGCTCTGGAATAAAGTTATTAGGAGGAAAAACAGTAAAACATACAACTTGTCTCAGAGAGCTAAAATGCACATAACATCTTGTATTTTGGAAAACCACATAAATAACTGGGGTAGGTGGGAGAGGGGAATGGATTGCTTTTGGGTTTTTATAGCTTTGCTTACATTTCTAGGAGAAGTCTTAATGGGTTTTACAACTAGAATGCTCACCATTTTGATAAAGCTCATGTCCAGTAAAAACATTGCTGAGGAGAGATCCCATCTCTGCTGGCCTGTCAGTTGTACAATACCTGCACAGCCCAAGCAGGCATCTGCCTGCTCCAGAGCCCTGGGCTGGATGTGGGAGCGATTCTTCCAGGCCACCTTGGGGTGTCAGGGCTGGGGTTTGGTCCTTTCCCTGAGCACCAAGGAGACAGAAAGCTGTGCAAGATGTGGGATGAGGACAAGAAGTTAACTCCAGAGGTAGAGGTAGCTGGGACACTTTCACTAACCTGGAGGCCTTTTCAGCAAACACTTCAGGAAATCATGCTTCAGTCTGCCTCAGAAGCAGAGAAAATAAATCAGTGTGGAAAAAAGTAATGCTGCATCTACATCCAGTGCTGTGTTTGTAAATCACTCTGTTACAGAAGTGGGCTTTAATGACGATAGCAAAATAATGGCTGTCTTTAAAATAGAAGATAATTATTTTTTCTTTGCTTGATGAGGTAGTTATTAAAATCTTGGACTTAAAATAGACCTGGCATCTCAAGCTTATTAACCAGGAGTGCAACTACTGCTCACTTGTGCTGCTGTAAATCACAGAATGGCCCTAAGTCCCCCCCCAGAATGCAGCCTTGTTTTCCGTTGAATGCTGTATCACCTCAGCCCGGGACAACTGTCTGTAGGAACACTGAAAGAGCCAAAACAGCGTGCTGACAGCAATCGGCTCATGGCTTAACAGCTTTATAATGCTGTTCCCTTTAATTTCAGCTCAGATCTGCTGGGCAAGCAGAGGAGAGGGAGGGGAGGTTGAACTTCTTGTGGTGGTGGGCAGTTGGGTGGTTGTTCCTTGGGGCTCTCCATGTCCTGCTCCCAGAAGAGCATCGCTTTAGTAGGAAACATCCTCCTGCAGCAGCCCAAGCTGACTGAGCAGAGCACTGGGCTTGGAGCCCCTGTGCCCAGGGACTCTCCAACAGCAGCCTGTCCCTATTCCCAGCAGACTCATGGATCTTCCTTCCCTGTGGAGCAGGAACATGGAAACTCATGGTGCTAAGGTGTGATAGCTTGGAGGAAAGTGAAGCTGAGGTCTGTGGCTGAGAGCATCCTGCCCACAGCCCCTGCCAGCATGGGCATGAACTCTGCCCGTTGCTGCTTCCTGAGGAACCTCTCCCAGATCCAGCACTGAGCTGGGATCTGTTTCCTTACAGATAAACATAGTCTGGTCCAAATAAAAGAAAACATTTGTATTCAGGTTTTGTGAAGAAAACTCAGGGTAAGAAAGTGAGATGGGAAGTATGGCCCTGTGCTCAGGGCTGGATCTGAAAACAAGCCCCCCCCAGCCCCAGCTTCCATCCAGGCAAGTAATATTTCTGTGTGGGAAGGAATGGATGTGTGTTTTGGTGTATGGAAGTGTTAGCCAGCAGAGCACTTCTTGAGGGAAAGCATTTAACTGATTTTTAACTGTATTGTGGTACTAAAACAGTTATATATTACACTGTCATTAGTGGACAGCTTTTGCTCTTCAAATTAAATAGTTTAAAGCTGCTGGAAATTGCAACCAGATTTTTATAAAGAATTGAAACAAATGTGAAATTGCAGCTTCAGGCCCAAGAGGCAGACTTGATTCTTCTTAACTCACTTGCCCTCACCCCCCTTGGAAAAGCTGACTGCAGGTGGCATGAAATCTGCATTGAAAATGCAGTTGTGACCTGTGGTGCCAATTGGAGCAGACCACTGGGGTTCAATGAGGGACCGAGACCCCCATGCAGCTGACTCACTGGCTGTTTAATTGTAGTACTGCTGCTCTCGGCCTCCTTCCCTTCCCTTCCCTTTGGTAGGAGCTTGCCTAGCAGGAATGTTTGTTTAACCAGTGTTTGCCTTCCGCAAGTCCCAGGAGGAATCAAGGAGCTCATGAGGGATAGAGAGAACAATGATGGCACTCCTCCCGTTCAGCCTGCTGCCCAGCCTGGGATTTACCAGAAGCCTGGGTTTCACAGCTCTGAGCTGGCTGCAGTGCTGTGCTGCCAGCTCCCTGGGGCAGGGTCACTTCCTTACTGTGAGGGATGCCCAAACTCTGCAGTTTCTGGGCTGCTTTCTTCTTCTATGGGCCTGAACCCTGACCATAACCCCTTGTGGGTGCATGTTTGGGGTGATCCCTATCTAACAGGGGCACTGGGGAGCCTGGCAGCTCCGCCACCCAGTGGGGCAAACTCCCCCCCCCATGGATGCTGGCAAAGGGGCAGCTTAGAGGGTACATGCTTCATGAAAGCTTTTGAACTCTTCATATTGCCTGAATGGGCTAGAAGATATCTTAGTTCAAGTAACCAACATCCAGGAAGTTTGTAGATAGCCTTGATGAATTTTGGTCTGAAGATCAATTTGACAGACCTTCAGGAGCGATGCGGGATGTCGGCTATTCTCAGGATAGCTTGAAAGAGATTTGGGCCAAAAAGCTTTTAGTGCATAACTGACTCGCTCCAGTGGCTTCCTTCTGAAGGCACGTTGGAAACTTGGGATTGTTTTTAATATCGTTGTCTTGGAGGGTCCAATAATAGAAGGAAGTCCAGAGTGTGTTTTCATTAAGCCGTGCCTGGAGAAGCTATGAAGTAGTTAGGGTCCTTGGGGAAAGTGAAAAGAGCAGATCATAAAATACCTGATGTGCAGTAGTTAATTTTGAGGAAGAGCATTTTAGATTTTCATTGTTACCTGCAGTAAGGCCCTAGAGTAAAGCATTTCACCATAGTAATACATGGTAGCAGCAGAAGAAACAACTTTTCCTCATCCTGCTTTCCCTGAGGTATTCTGTGGATGTTTTATGACATCAGCAATTATAACCTTAAGCATTCTGTTGATCAGTGAGTGAAATCCTACCGTGTTTCTGGGCAGATATTGGACCCTGCCACTGAGCACTCCAGCTGTACTTACAAGAAAGGCTTAAGACTTTGCTTCTCTCTCTCGCTTTCAGCACAGGTGTTTTGTACTGGCAGTGGAGAGTCTGGTGCTAGAGTGGAACGAGGCGCTTCACATGCATGTGCTGGCATGGTGCTTTCTCACAGTGCTGGTAGAAGTGTTCATTAGTCTTGGCACGTTTGTAGTGGATTAAGAATTTCTTCCATTAAGATCCTACTGTGCTAATGCTCTGCTAGTGCTCTTGCTGCAGCTGCACCAAGCCAGTGCAGACTGTGCAGCATTTGCTGTCCTGAAGTTGTGTTGTACAGCATTGAAGCTTTGGTTGTTTTTCTTTCCAGTTGTTGGATAATACCAGCAGTATCCTTATTTTGTAGGGCAGTGCCTGTGTGAGGCCTGGGAGGAGCTGTCAGGAATTCTGTTTTCCTGCTTCTGTAGTTCCTATTAGGATTTCTCACTTCTGTGAAAGCCATCTGTGCACCAGATCACTTCTACAGCATCCTGTAGCTCTCTAACCAGCTATTCCCAAGCAGCACCTTCTCCCATGTGCTTCTTCCTCCCCTGGAAAAACTCCTGAATATCAATCCTGCCATTGCACAGAGGCATAGTATACCGAGTGTTGATGTGTAACATACTATGCAGCAATGTTAACATGCACACTAAGAAATAGGGAAGAGGCCCTGACTCATTAAATAATTCATCTGTTGCTGCTGTGAATCTTCAGGCAGAAATCTTACCCTGCAATGATTCTATGGGGCTGAAAGTAGCTGAGGTGAAAGCTGACTTTGAAGTTCTTGCAGATGTGGTGAGCTGTTTGGTGCCATGCAGATGTTTCTGCATTTAAAGACCCAACTGACCTGGCCCATGCACAGTAAACAGTTAATCACTTCTCTATGGTTTGTAAAATTCAGATTTCAAATGCTGACCAAGTCAGAAACAAATCTAATGCAGATGGATGCTGGTCTTTAAAGCGGAATGGCAGAGTGCCAACTGGCTGCCCCGTAGCTCTTCACACTACAATAGGAAAAATGCCTTGAGTGGAGCCTCCCTTCCCCTCAGTACCAGGCCAGCAGAAGTTAACTGTGCAGACCCCGCTGTCCTGCAAGTGCTAATTCAGTTTGGGGCAGACCTCTTGCAAGATTACGTTTTAATCTGCTTTTAAGACAGCAGCTAGTAGCCAATTGAGTAGGAGGCTTTATTTTTGATGGCTTCTTGGCATTTACTTTCCATATTGCAAGGCATCAATGACCAAACGCTTTCCTTTTACTGCAGAATCAATATCTGTGCAGCATTGGCAGCTCTGTGTTACATACAGACTCAGCTGCTGACTGCTTTTTCCCTGAGTTAAGATTCTGGTTTTAATTGATAAAAGGGGAGCTTTTACTGTAAACTATGCTTCATGCAACCCATGGGGGCTATGGGGTGTCTTGATGCAGGCTGACCTGCTCCTTAGAGCTCTCCCTGTCCTGGCACAAGGCAGTAGGAAGCTGCCTGGTCTTGAGTTTTGATATTTATAGATTTCTGGTCTTTTCAGCAGCCCAGGATAGTGGCATGTGAGGGATGGTGTGTTGGGATCTGGGTGTAAAACTAAGTAAGTCTTCAATGCTTTCCTGGGGAGTGCTGGGGGTTTTCTTTGGCTTAAAAAACAGCACACAACCCAAAACTCCCAAAACAAACAAAAAATGAAGAAAAACTCCAAACAAATCCAAACCCCCACCCAACCTGTTTTCTGAGGATGAAGTGATTGGTACTTATTTTACATGTAGCCTGGCTACTGCTTGCATCTGAGTAAGTTTAGCCTTTCATTCCTGAAATGTTAGAAAAACACAAAGGGAGAAAAGAAGGACCGTGTTTTCTGCCACTGCTCCATAATGTGAGCAGAGCATCTGTTTGCAAAGTACTGTGGATGTGATGAGCGCTTGCGCTTCCCTGCCAAAGGCAGCTCAGTAACTGTTGGTGCTCTCTCCATCCCAGGCCATGCAGTACCTGGAGCTGATCCCGAAGGAGATGCAGCCGGTGGCAGGAACGGAGGGGGCCTACTACCGTCGTCGGCAGCTGATGAGACAACTCCCGCTGTACGACCAGGACCCGTCCCAGTGCCGTGGCCTCGCCGAGGGCGAGCTGAAGCTGATGGAAGACTTTGTGAAGAAGTACAAAGCCGAGGCGCTGGGCGTTGGGGAGGTGGCTCTGCCGGGCCAGGGTGGCGCAGGCAAGGAGGAGGGGAAGCAGCAGGACAAGAGCATTGCAGCCAGCAAACCCTCTGAGTCCACCAATGGGGCCCTGGAGAACGTGCCTGCAGGAGGGCAGTATGTGAGTGCTGTGGTCCGTGGCGGTGGGATGGGCTGGATGGGGTGTCCCGGCTCTGCTTGGAGCTTGGGGAGCTTTCAGGGAACAGCTTTGGTCTCCACTAGAGGTGGGTAAAGATTGCATCAGCCCGGGACGTCTGTTCCTTGTTCACAATACTGCTCCTGTGGGCTTCTGCAGGGCTGCTGCAGTGCTTTTTCAAACAACTTGAAGCAGTGCTGCAATGCTCAGTTTCATCATGGCATGCTTTTGTAGAGCACTATGAAACACCCTAGTGGGACGTGTGTACTCCTGCCAGTCCTGCCTGTCTGTATAACAGGGGTGAAGAGAGGTGGTTATAATCTCCTCTTCATCACCCTCCCTCCACAGCAAAAACTGTGCTGAACCACCAGGGTAAGTAAACCCTCTGCTAGATGCACAAGCAGTGATTTTGACTTTGGATTCTTTGCAGCTCTGCCCTAGGTGTTTGGGAGTCAGTAAGGTACTCAAGGCATCTCACTGCGAGTCAGTGAGTGTTTCCAGCTAGGCATCCAGACCAGAGCAAGTGGAAAGACTGCAAGTGACAGGAGGTGGTGGCTCGCTGTAATTAATGCAGAGCTGTGAACGTGGAGATAATGCTTCCAGGGCTGTAATTGCTTGGGGGAACTTTGAACAGATGTCCCTGGGCATAAAAATACATTTCCACAGGGAAATGATTGAGATTCCCTAACACCCTTTCAGATTTATATTCTCCCAGCGCTGTCTGGAGTGGCCATTGTGGTTGCTGAACACATGCTTATCATAAAATATGGTGAGTGAAAATATATCAAACTGTCCCTTGTGAGGGTGACTTGCAGCAGAGGTTTTAAAGCTGTAAAAGAAAAATGGTGTCTGAGGGTTTATAAGACAAGATTTTTCTTGCCATTGCTGCACTGAGATTGTAACATGTTCAGAGCAGTTTTCATTTTCATTCCATATTGGGTAATGTATCCCCTCTGCTATGGCCTTTTCTGCTAACATGCATCTGACTTTCAGAGCCCAGTGATACAGTAAAAGTTTTTCACCGTTGCAACAAAATACTGAATCAGGCAAAAAAAAAAAAAAATCTAAAACATAGCCAGGAAAGGAAGGTTTCTATTAAACATTTATTAATAAAAGTTAGCTTAGCACTGCAGGTTTACTTAGACTGCAAGTTTGTCCTTCCAAAATTACATAGCTGTGATGTTGTTCTCCTTAAAGCATCATTTTTCTCGAGGCACTAGCTGAAAAATCAAACCACTTCAAAAGCAGTTGTAGAAGATCCACTTTGACCAATGCACTGTGCAGCTCAGTTTACAGCAGCCCCATGGAGTGCTGTGGTTTCTTGCTGTACTAAGACAGGACTTCTGTTTCCCCCTCTAAGAAAACAGTGCCCATGTTGATTTGATCTCCTGTGCGGGAATTAATGATGCTGACCTGATAGGAATGGACTATGTCCCAAGATCTGAAATGTGCTGAACTTCCAGAAGGTCTACTGGCTTTCATGAAACTGCAGTGGGAAAGTTCTGCCATAGAAAAATGAGATAGCACTTTAGTTTGCAATGTGTGTGAGGCTGAAAGTAGATGTGAGTGAAATGAGCTATATGAAGGCTGAGAATAGATGTGAAGGGACTGAGAAATGAAGTGCATAAAGCCAGTGATACTGGAGGTTTTAATGTTCTTGCTGTATTCAGGGCTGAAATGTACATCAGCACACTCCAAAACAAAAACGTTACCTTTGCTCTAGAAGAGAATGAACCCAGAAAGCACCAAAGCTGCACCAGGAAATAAGCTGGAATTTCCTTGGGTGTTTGTGTGGTCCCTGTACTAAGGTTGTTAAACCTCTTATTGCACACTCAGGCCAGCTGTGTTGAAATTGGTGTGCAAAGGAAAACATACAGGGCCAATGTAAATCGCCATGAGAGAGGCATCTGAGCTCAAACAGCTTTTTGAACTCATCTTGGCTGCAGAGAAGGGGCCCCATGGCTGCAATAAGTCTGTCCTAGGAGCTGAGTGTTCTCCACTGAGCATAAAATCATCTTTAACCCCCTCAGAACTGGAAAGTCTTCAGGTATTATGAGCAATTGTGCTGGAATCAAAATATCTGAAGCAGTTGATTAGAATTAGCCATTGTCTCAAAAAGCTTGAGGTTACCAATGTAGGGAGTGTTCTGGGGAAGCCTTGTAGCATCTGTGGCACTCGTTCTGTGGGAGATGCGATTGCAAAGTAGCTGCTAGTGGAGAGGGTGAGTTTGGAAAAGCTTAGGAGAAAGGGACACTTTCTTGGCCAACACCTCTGGTTACTCTGCTAATAAAGTCTTCACTCCTCTCCTTACATGATGGAGATGTAAAATAAGTACCAAGCTGTAATGCCATCTTAAATTTGAAGAGCCACTTTATTTAGTGTAAATGGCAGAGCGGTGGAAGTTATATGATGCTTAGGAAAAGCCCTGTGGATAACTGCCATAGAAAGAAACAGCAAAGTTGTTTTTCTAACAGTTCTTGTTGGCAAGAAACTTGAGCTCAGAGTTGGAAAGCTGCTCGTGTTTGTTCTCGCTGTTAGATCTTGCAAGATAAGCAGGGCTGGGATGGATGGCTCTGGTTTCTCCACACTGTCACCCCCGAAGGCAGCTGCAGGGTTGGGCTCTGGTGCCTTGGGGAGGTATCAGGTGTATAAGGAAAAATATGGTCTTAGTCGCATACAATGGGTGCCGAATCCATTGGTGCCCATCTGCCCCCCCTGCCAGTGAGGCTGGTGTACCAGTAGTGATCCACATTGAGCATGGCAGCTTCATGTACCTGTTTCCTTGTTCATACAGACCAGAAATAGCATGGCTTCCATGCCACTGAGCTTACTCCTTCTTTGGCGTGGGTCTTGGGAGTACTTAGAAATGCGTCTGAAGCCCTTTGCAGTAGGAGTGGTGTAAGCAGACATATCCCCTTTCAGACTTGCGGAAAAGCCAAGCCAGGAAACATTTTGTCTCTCTTCTATTGCTGCCTTCACTAGCCATACTGGATTTCCTGGTAAAATAGGAGATGCCCGTCAGTGTGGTGGAACCACTCCAAGGACTGCGGGGCAGCTAATGAAAATCCAGACTGAACCAAGGAGGAGGCAATAATGAGGAGTGCTAGGAATAATAGTAACAAAACAAAGAAAAGCCACTTGGTGGGTGTAGATGGGCCTGAAGCCTTCTGCTATGTAAAGGGCAAAATGAGTTTAAGAAAACTCCCTAGATGCAAAGAACGGCCTCTTTGGCAGTCAGGCTGTGAACTAGCAAAAGAGTGGATGTGGTGGGAAACTTGCCTTTGGTTTGACGTATGTATAGTTCACAGAGAAGCCCCACTCCCTCTGTGCCCCAGAGAGGCTGTTTCTGCTGCTGCTTTACTGGGATTGTATCAGGGAGGATCACAGAGGGGTGAGTTTCGCAGTCTGTTGTGGCATCAGGGTGGTGTTCCTCAGGTTGTGGACCACAGCTGCCCTGTGCAATGTCCCGCTCTTCTCGCCCCATCCCTGATGTTCTCCTTCAGCTCAGGAAGTTTTATTTACCTTCTGGTGAGAAATGTTGGTTTTGTGTCTCTTCTACCCACCTTTCAGAAGCTTGTTGGCTTAAATCAGTATTTGTGAGCAAATCCATTGTCTGAATGCAAGGAAACTCCCAACCCCATGCTGCCTGGAGCATGCTGGAAGGGGGCCAAGGCCATGCAAACAGTCTGGTTGGGCACAGCAGCTGAAACCACAACACATGCGACACGCAAGCTGCTTCACACTGCATCTCCGTTTCATAAAAGCCTTCAACAGACTGCTAGTAGAAGTCTGGCCTTGCAGCCAAGGGCTCTGCTGGAAGAGGCTCCAGCCGCTACTTAAGAGTGTTTTGTTTAGGGAGTGACAAAGCACAGGCTCCAAGTTGTTATCCTGACCTGGACTATCCAGACTTAAATGGGAATTTAAATAACAGCTCATCAGTTGTCAGCCTCTGAGAGGAGAGCTTTAAAGCTTGCTCTAAGCTAATCACAGGATCACTCTGCAGGCACAGATAAAGAGTAAGCCCGGTTGGCCTTGTGTGTAATGTGCATAAATGTTAATTAATCTTCAGATTAGCCAAGTCTAATAATTGGGCTGTTATAAACTGAAAGCACTGTGCTGAAAGTGACATCTGTCTTATGCATAGATATATATATATATTAAAATGTAGTGAGAAAAGAACCAAGTCTCTAATCTCTATGCAAAATAACATCTTTGCTGTGCTGCAGTTCAGCAGTAGAGGATGTTCTAACTCTGGGAGCCTTGGCATTTTGGTGATTTTGGTTTTAGCTTGGGAGGAGGGTCCCAAAGGCCAGGCACTTAACTGATGGTGGGCAGTGCTATTCCTACCTGCCTGGATCTGGCTGTGGACAGAAGTAAACAGTATTCCAGGGGAAGACTAGCCAATATGTATTTATAATGACTTTTAATTATTTTACATCTTGATACTCCGTCCATGCATAGCACTGGTCCAAATGTTTGCACAGGATGTGAAGTGTGGTAGGCTGAGACATCTTGGTTCTGTTGGCTGTGAATGCCCTGTGATGCTGTGTGTTGTTTTGAGTCCTACTGCACAATTGAGATGTTTTCTCAGCACTTTTCTTGAGCTGCAACCATTGCTTTCTCTTCAGTTTAGCATTCCCTTGTTCTTCCACCTCGCTGCACTGTTTCTATAGCCTCATTTCAGGCTGGTGATACAGCTGTGAAGTCGAGCTTTGGTACCCTCAAGATTCCCTTCACAGAACAAGAGCTCAAATGAAAGCAACCAAAGTTGCACAGCTTAGCAGGCCTGGAATTAAACATTTTATTTCCACTGTCCTCCTTGGTGCTATGGGATGTTGAGCAGGGAAACCACAGGTCCTCCAGGCTATGTAGAAGCCGGAAGCATTGAGGATGCGCTTAGAGAGCATGGTGTTGTGCTTTGCTAACTGTGCTCTTAACCAGCTACGTGGTCCATGCTCACTCCACTGTCTCTGTTGCAGCACTGTGAGACCTGCAAGCAGGCATTGCCCGAGGACTGCCCGGTGGTGTATGCCGACAGGGCGGGCTACTCCCGGCAGTGGCACCCAGCATGCTTCGTGTGCTGCCAGTGCTCCGAGCCCCTTGTCGACCTCATCTACTTCTGGAAGAGCGGGGCCGCCTGGTGCGGGCGCCACTACTGCGAGAGCCTCCGGCCGCGCTGCGCTGGCTGCGATGAGGTATGGACCGGCTGCTCCCTGACCCTGTTGGGCTCTTGGTGTGGGTTAATTGAGGGCTGCTTAACCTGCCTGCCTGCTCGTGCCTCCTGGGAGAGGCATCCTTCTGGTGCTGGTTACCGGGCTGCTGTGGAGCTGGAGATGTCTAAAGAAAATGGGGCAAAACGGAGTAATATTAATGATAGTCTCAGCTGGCGATGCTGTATCTATCTCAGAGCAACAATCAAGCTCTAGCTGTATTTAAAACCTGATGGTTTTATACTGCTTAATTGCAGCCCATGACTCATTGCTTAGGACGTCCTATCTCTCTTAATTACTCCTTCCAAAGCCTGGCTCCATGGCTGACTATTTGGTGGGATGCATGGGGTGGGCTCTCCCTGTTCCTGCCATGCTCCAGCTTGGTGAGACAGTGGAAATAAGCAATTGTCTGTCTGCCCTGTAGATCATCTTCTCGGAAGACTACCAGCAGGCAGAAGGCATGGCCTGGCACAAGAAGCACTTTGCCTGCCTGGAGTGCGAGACGCTGCTGAGTGGCAAACCCTTCACTCTGGACAACACCAGCCTCCTGTGCACGACCTGCAGCAAAAGCAAACACCTCTGAGCAGGGAGCAGCCTGGGCCAAAGCGGGGTCCCCGAGGTCCCAGAACTGGGGTTATTTGACAAGTACATGAGAAGGGAAAGGTTAAAATGCAATTAAGAGCCTGGCTATTCACTTCCAAGCAACTAAGTGCCCCCTTGCATCCAATACAGCTTGCAGGAGATTATTTCCCTTGGGGAAGAAGCAAGAGAAACTCATGTGCCTGTGGATGGGAGGTACATAGTGTATCTGACTAGGAGGGACTGGAAGGAGGTTCTGTGTTGTGCTGTTCTTTTTATAAAGTCTTTCCAAGCTTCTTATGACTATGATCTTGCAATAGGCTTTTGGAAATAACACATCTCAAGAGTCACTTTTGGCATACTAAACCTATGGCTGTGGTCAAAACTAAGGGTTATTCATATTTTTGGAAATCCATACTGGAAGCTTAGACTAACAGGCTGCTGACAGCTGTACTAAAGCCATGGGTTTGAAGAATCTGATTAACCCGGGTGATTACTTTCTGAAAGCAAATGATATAAAATTGCAGCAACATGTAGCTGTGGCTTTCCCCTCCTTAGTGTACAGTAATGCATAAATAACAAGTTGGCACACAGGGAGACTGGTTTAACCCTGGAGAGATGGGAAGGGTGCAGCTCTGCCCCAGGACACTGACAGCTCATTGCTTGTGAGCTTTAGTCCTGAAATGGGAATGCAAAACCAGGCTCCCCAGCCCCTTGCCTCCCTCCAACCGCTGTTACTGCAGGCAAGTGTGTTTCCACAGAGCAGCACTGTGTTCTACTGCAGTGCTGGACATTGTTAAGTATTTAAAGTGTGAGCCTTTATTTTGGCTGGGTTTGACCAGGAATGTTATAGAAAGCAGCTTTTCAGCCTAAGCTGTCTGAAACGTTGCAGTGCCAGGATTTTCCTGTAATGTCAATGACCCCCTCCAAACACCAGGGAACTGTTCCTCTTGGAGCTGGCACCACTCTTGACCTGGACTCTGCCCTGCTCCTTGTCCTGCAGCTCTCCCATCCCTAGGGAAGGTCCCTGTGACCTCCTGGGTCTGATAGGGGTGACACTATCCCAGGATCTGGCACTGAGTCTCTGCCATTAGTATTTGTTCCCTACATCAAGCAATGTTTCTGGTAGTCACTGAAAATCTCAGCTAGTCCAGGCTGGCAAATGTCTGTGCTCAGTCTTTTTTCCTATATTAAACATACATTATTTGCCAGAGAACTGGAATATTTTTTGCAGAGGTGAATGTGCAAGGAGCTCACAGTCACTGGGTTTTCTTTCTGCTACAGAAGATGCTGGTTTCTCTTTAAAGCATGCTCCATGCTGTGGATGTTTGCTTGCTTATGATAAAATAACTTGCAAATGAGAGTTGGGGGGAACTGTACATGCTGCAGGGTTGAGATGCGTTTGAGCTGTGGGCCAGGTTGTGCCCCTCTGCCATGTGTTTTGGGGGTATAAAGACATATCTGCATGTAGGGCACAGTGCTGGTTAAGCCTTGCTCAGCTCTATGCTGCTGCATGGTTGATATTCCTGGAAATGCTGGGGTATTTGAAGGGGGTAAATGAAATGGAATAGAAACATCCTGAGGTGGCAGCCACAGCAGTAGCTGTGGGGTAATGGATGTGTTTTGCAGTGTGTCACGATGCCTATGCTCTTGGGGTCCTTTGTCCATCTCGGGTTAGTGGATGGCTGTGCTGAGTGCCAGGGTTTGATGCTTCAAGTCAAGAGAGGATGTATAGACCTCGAGCAATGCTAGGAATAATAAAGCTCCCTTGGATCAACCTTGGGTACGGGCTCTTTGGTTGTAAGTAAAGTGGGAATGAAAAATAAAGCCCAGTGCTTATTAGCTTTATTGCCTCTTCTTCATTTTTTTCTTTCCAAAGGAAATGGTTTTACATCTTTATACATTTTTTTTTTAAAGACACTTTCTAAACCCTGTGATGTTAAAGCAGCCAAAAGTGCATACTCTCAGTGTAAGCAGTGATAGGAATAGTGTGACTCACCAATGAAAGGCCAGGCATTAACATCCAAACAGCATTCACTGATGGAAAGTCGGTGTCCATTTACAACACAGCTGGTTACCTCTTAAGGTGATCACCTACAAGATAGGTGCGTGGCCACTGCATAGGTGTCTGCAAGGAAATTAAATGGAAAAAATAAAATCAACAAAACATCAAGTTTGTCAATGTGAGACACTATTACCTAAACTGCTGCCATCACAGCATGCTGCCCTCTTCTCCCTGAGTGGTGTGTGTTTGTTTTGCCTCGGCTGGCTGCATAGTCCTTTCAGGGTTTGGGATAGAATGAGCCCCTTCCACTGCAGACAGGATTACAATAGAGGCTCAAAGGGAGGAGGTGGAGAAGAGGTGGCTCTTGTTTTCTGTGCTGAAGAAGAATGTGCATGGTGGGAGCTTGGGTAAAGGTCAGAGCAGAGGCATGGGGAGAGAATGGGAGTTTGCGGGGGGAGCACTGGCACCCCAGTGCAGCAGCAAGGCAGGAGTCATCGGTCTGGGGTTGTGAGGGCAGGGCTGGGTCATTCCACCACCCTCTCTGCAGTGGGATGGTCTCTGAATGACAGAGGTCAAGCCTGCCTTACATACAAGTATGGATCTCAATCATATTATCTTGGTTAGGTTTATCTTGCTGCGCTGTGACCACAGTCTGCACACAGTAGCATCAAGTTCTTGCACAGTCTATCTCCATGAACACAATCCTTGATCACTAATACCTTTATTTGGCTACTTGGAGAGAAGATGCCTGTATGGGCATCAAAACCCAAAGCTTTGGATTTTGATTTTGTGATCTATAAATTGTAAATCTTGTCTGAAGTCCCTGTTTCAGTATACACATGCTTGCTTCAGGCTTTTTGGACTGCTGGCATCCACTCAAACCTTTCAGGTATTTCTGCAGCTTGTAAAACATTGCTAGAAAAATTGCTGCAATTACACAGCTTAACAAAATCCTGGACCTCTCAAGTGTTAGGAGCAAAAGCTTGAAATTAATGCATCTAATAGCTCAAGATGTATGTGATTCTTCAGTTTTGCTATTAAAATTGAAACTCAGTGTAACCATGAGAAGATATTTGTGCCAAGTGAAGACATTACACTGTGTTTTGCTATGGGTTGTTAGCTATAGCAAAGGAAGCTGCTGCAGCTGCCTTCTGTAGGTCATGAGCTCTGGTTTTCGAGATGGTTACATTTACAGAGCCATCAGTGAGCATATTGGGGTCTGTCCTGAAAATTAATAAAACCAGAGCAGTTTCCCAGGGTTACTATGTATAATAGGATAGACTAAGGGCAAAGCCTGTGTTGTGTGACTGTCTGAAACGCATCTTGTGCTACAGCTGTGTCCAGACATGGATGCTGCTCCCTTCAAATGCTGCTGCATGGCACAAAGGATGGCACAGAGCACTGGTGTTTGCAGGCCAGAGCAGTCCATAAAAGCTGAACTGTTGAGCTGAGCATCTCACATGGGGGGTTTTAATATCCATTGAATACTTCTATGAAAGCATAAGGATAAATTGTCCAATGGTCAATTTAGCATCATGTATTTTGGCAACTAATACCAGTATTTTAACCTGTGAATCTGCAAAGGACAAACATATTTACTTTGCCTTTCGATGGCCAAAGATGGTGAGTGCAAAGACTTTGTGCCTCCTACACAAACATTTAGCTCCAATTTAAACTCAAATGTTCTGTATAACTGTTCTCCTAAATAAGACTGACAATACATGAACATGTTCCTGAAACTTCAATTAAACTGGTCCTGGATATGAAAGTCTCCCAAGTCTTGCTTTGCTTCCTTCCCAGTCTCAGGGCAGCAGCTCAGGAGCTGCAGTGGGGCGACAGAGGAAGGTCTGAGGTGCTGCTGCTTATCACAGTCCAGAGCACGCTGTCATCCCTATGGCTGAGACACTGTTGGTAAAAAAGGCTGTGACAGAGCCAAAGAAGGAGACTGTAACAGCAGCACAGGGGCGCACGGAGGGATGCAGTTAACATGAAGTCACAGCCTGGGGAGCCCTGCCTGCAGAGGCGTGCATTTACCGTCAAGGAGCTGCCTGCAGGTTTCCTGGGGAAGCTTCCTGATTGACTTTGCAAAACATGTGGATGCTTGTTCCTGTTCAGATAAAGTTAACTCATTGCCCAGTGCTGTTACTTATTTGAGGCTAATGATTTAACCCAGTTAGTGAGTGCTATTACCTCCAGTATTTCCTTGCAATGGTCTGAGAGGGGAATCACTTTGAAAGCAAACTCTTTAGTGCAGGAGAAATGAGTATTGAAGTGTAGCAGCTCTGGCAGGGAGCAGTGGCTGTGCCAGAGCCCTGGCCCAGAGCTCACAGTCTGGCACATGCTGGCAGCCAGGGGATGAGCCTCAGGACCCACCTGGGGTACAAGAAGCTGTGCTGAGCACAGGGGATCCTTCTCTTGCTCCCTGCAACTGCAGACCCAACCAGGAACACAGGGTGAGTGGGAGGGAGGGTAGAACCCACCAGCAGAGAGAAAATAACCTCTGACTGGGTGGAAATCACATTTCAGCTGAAGTTTTGCAAGCTGAAGCTTTTCAAAGCTGAACTGATCTGAATCTGCAAATATTTGCAGTGCTGTCTCACTTGCGGTCCTTTTTTTCTGAGAAATATTTGAGGAAGAAGGGACTGTCTGTTTGTGATTTGGGAAGATTTCAGCACTGTAAAGGCAGAGGCTGTTTAAGTACAGCATCTCCTTCAGGTCACCTTTGTTCTCACAGGTTTCCCGTCTGCCTTCCCTGCTGGACCATGCATTCCCTAACACCAGAGGGGGAACTGGACCCCATTCAGGGGGCTCCCTGGGCGCTGTCCTGGAGCCTTCACTGCTCAGGCAGGGATAAAGACAAGAAGTGAGCAGTCAATGGAGTGATACCTTTATCCACCTCAGCAAGGGCCCAAAGGAAGGGAGCCCTTTGCTTAAGTGAATGCTGGATCCTGGTTTGTATTTGCAATATCTGGACTAAGACAATAAAACTTGAAATAAAATTTCTCAGCTTAGATAGGTAAGAAAAAATTAGCTATTCCTGAGACAGGAGGACAGCATCTTACCTTCAAGGCTAGATGTCACTCAACCCAGCAGTACTGAGGAGCTGGTTAGCATATTACAGCAAGGCTTCCTCCCACCACTGCTTTATATAGGCTTCCCCAAGCAGGGTCAAAAGGAGGGCATTTAAGAAGTTCCCCTCGAGGGTTTATGGAAAACACCTGGGTGCTGTGATTTACTTCTGAGCCCTAAACTGGTGAAAGGGGAGCTCTGTTGTCAGGAGTGGATGGTGACTGGGTGAGAGCTGGGTGCTGCGGGGCACAGGTAGTGTGCGGGCCTGGGGCCAACTCTGCACACCCCAGGCTTCTAGGGCTGTGCAGAAAAGGTAGAAAACCCTTAAAAGAGGGGAAGAAATATGTTTTTCTAATCTCTTCCTGCAGGGCACAGCTTTGGATGTGAGAGCAGTTCTGTGCTGCACGACTCTTCCGCTCCACTTGGAAGAGGCTGCTGTGCTCTGGCCCAGCAGTTG